AACCCATAAAGTGAGAAGAAAATTTTCTGTCCTTTTCAGCTCGTAGTTTTTGGTAAAAATTACTAAACTCATATAAACTTAAAAAATGTGGTAAACTTTTAAAGGAGAGATTTCAAGCTTTAAAACCCTTTTTTAAATTTAATTTTCATTCATTATTGATGAAGATATTGTAATACAACTTTGAGTTAAAAAAACGCAAAAAAGCAAATACTTGTCAACTCAACATATATAAAACATCGACGAAGCAACATATCGATATATTATTTCATATACATGTATAACTACATCATTTATAACATTACTTGGAATCTAATTTACTCAATTTTTTATGAAGATGTTTGTCCAGATGAATTGTAATTTGTTGCATATTATCGCATTTAATTTTGCATTCTAGTCACTCGGGTTTGTGCATCTTTTTGCGATGATTTAAGCGATTAGCATAGCTATCGAATGACTCGTTGCAATCTCCACATTGGTAAAAAATGATCGTGTGTTCTTGATGATGTAAGTTCCTAGCATCCCTTTGTTTATCAGAGTACTCGCATGCGAACAGTTTCTTACTATTGTGTAGTGAAACGTGATGATCAAGATCTTTTTTATCTGTGAATGTTTCATCACACTGCTGACATTTATTGTCATTGTGCTCACTCTGAATATGCCTTATTAGGAATCGTTTGGCTTTGTATACATTTTTGCATATATCACACTGAAATGTAAGAGGTACAATTTTGCCTTCATGCACCTTTTCCTTGTGTGACTTGAGCGACATTTGATGCTTGAATTTCTCTTGACACTCGTTGCATTCGTACAATGGTTTTTGATCCATTATTAAAGGATCTTGACGATCAAGTTCATGAATTCCAATCATGTGATTCTTTAACATACGATAGGTCGGCAAATTATCGTTGCACACAGGACACGTAAATATTCGTGGAAGTAATACATTCTTGTCTTTTTTCCAGTGTCTCTCCAGATGTTCATTCCAATTTTGCTTCTTAAGGAACGATTTGCCACATATCTCGCAAATGTGGCGATTAGAGACATGAGACTTCTTGTGGAATTTTAATGCATGTGTAGTCCTACATCGCAAGCCACATACTTCACATTGATAAGGCATCTCACCAGTATGTTTTCGTTGATGTTCCTTCAATCGCACCTTCAGCTGAAATGACTTGCCGCATATTTCGCAAATATGTGGTCTAAATCCCTTATGCACAAAGAGATAATGTTCGTACAATGAATTTTCCCCACTGAATTCCTTACCGCACGTGCTGCAGATAAACTCGTCCATATTCTCATTATGTCGCATTTTGTGGAACTCGAGTCTCTCCTGACGCATAAAATGTTTATGACATTTCGAACAGTAATATTGTCGCTGAGAAATTCCTCTTATTTTACAAGAGGCGCACATTGCTTCATCGTTAATAGCATTAGGATCTCTGATCAATTTTCTGCAGACTTTGCATTTTCGCCTCGGTCT